GCGGATGGCCCCAGGAGCACAGGGGGGGCGCCAGGCGGAACCGGTGGCGTGGGCTTCTTGAGGCGGTGCGCCGAGCTCTGCTCGCCCTCCCTCTGGCTCTCTCTGGCCTCGCTCATTCCCTGCTCGTGAACGTGGGCATCACCATTGACGCCGACGTGCATGGCAACCCACAGCAAACCATGACGGCCGCGGCGAGCTCGTCCTCCTGCAGCAGTAGCGCTTGGAGCAACCGGCGGCGAGCTCTGCCCCGGCTACCACCACCGGCGCATGCATGGGCTCCCCTCGGCCACCGTGGGTGCGCACGGGAGCTCCGTCCCGGCCACCGCCCTGGCACGTGGTGAGCTCCCCCGGCTCCCATGCCGGCGAGTGCACGGGCTCCCCCCGGCCACCACGGGCTCCATCCCGACCACCGCCATGGCACGCGGCGAGCTCCCCCAGCCACCACGACGGTGCGTGGGCGAGATCCCTTCGGCCACCGCGATGGCGCGCGGGCGAGCTCCCCCGGCCACCACGATCGGCGCGCGGGCGAGCTGCCCCGCCACCGCGAGACGGGTGAGCTGCACTCCGACGACCGCGACGGTGCGCGGGTGACCGCGTCCACCCTCACCAGCGTCGCGTGCCTCACCACCTCCACCTACGACCCCACCATGGGCTTCTCCGTCGTTCACTACATGGCTGCTGCGGGCACCCCGCCGCGCCTCCGCTCCTATGGCCCAACCCTCTTTGCCTACTGCATGCCAAAGGCACCGACAACTTGGTCCCACCAGTCAGAGAGTTAGAGAAAGAAGAGGATAAGAGTATGATAGAAGGGTATTTTGGCCACTTTCACTGGTTGGGCCCACATGTCAGAGCGGGCAAACAGCAAAAAATCAGATGGAAGGTGGACGGAATGGCGTGAAAGGCAAGAAAGTTTAGCGTCATGGCACTAGGGTGCGTTCAAACTTTTTAGTGGCCTATAGGTCAGGATCATCTTTCATAATGGCACACAGGTAAAAGGCTCTTCCTTTTTTACGCAATTGGAAACGGTCGATGATTGTTTCTTCTTTCCTTTTTTTCCTTTCGTGCTGGAGCAATCGCGTGGGAGAGGGAGGCAGCGCGATTAACGCCGGGACGTCACCGTGTGCGAGCTGTCCAAACAGGCTGTGGGTCTCATGCGGTGCGTCGCCTTGCAGGCGGTGTGCGAGACGTGGGAGGCGTGCATTGAAGCCAGGAGGTGGGAGATCCAAATAACGTTGGCCATCAGATCGAGTTGAAGCTTGTGAGGAAGGATTAGGAGTCATAGATTTTAATGATGTTGTAATCCTGGGTATAATTTCGTTGGTGCATAATAGGTGGACTCTCTCAACGGTGGACGTTTTTTTGGGAGACTTAGTATAGTTTTGATTGGTCCCTTATAGTAGAGAAGAGATAGAGATAAGCTTTTGTTGTTCAACGTCTTTCAAAAAAGTTACACACAACTTATCTGGCACAATGTTTATATGTAATTTGTTTTCGACAAATTTCTCTTAGCCTAAAAATCAATTTACGGAAGACATGGTCGAAGGGTGCGCCCGATCCACAGCTTGAGATTGAAATCACACAAAGGTTTGGAAAGAATCAGCTAGCAATGGCAGTGCCTCCACAACAATGTGCCACTGTCACCACCAGCATACTTGCTGGAACCTCACTGTAAAGGCATTCCTAGACTTAGGTCTCAACTAGATCTTTGGGCGTGTTTGGATTTCTTACCATGTTGCCTCGTTTGGCCTCGCTAGGCAAGGATAGCCTCGCCAAGCGAGTCGAGTCAAATTGGCTCACGTGAGCAAGTAAGGTAAAGTCTTGACTACACGGAAAAAGGAAGTAGGTGGAAAAGAATCCAAACGCTAGAGTTTTGCTCAGACAAGCAAGGTAAATAATCTAAACACACTTCCACTATTATGGAGCTCGCACAATGGCGAACCCATTGGAGGGGTTCATGCCAATGTGGGGCTCACCACAACAGGGGTGAATATGGGCCTAGGGCCATGGATCTAAGCATGGCCTAATAAGTCCACTTACCTCTCTTAAGATTTGTAGGCCAACCCATGTGGTTGGGCTAGAAATTCTCAATGGGCCAGTGCAGTGGCAAGAGGCCTGCTTGTGACCATGTGTGTAGCCCTTTTCTCTCGCTCGCTGACTCGCTCCACTCACACAGCGCGTCGACGGAATCGAGTGCATAGCCCGTCGCTAGCCAAATCGTGTGTAGTGCTAGCCAAATAGGACCCTATTAGCTCTGCCCTCTAGCCAAATAGAGCGGTGGTTCAGACAGTGGCTCAGCCACATAGAGAAGATGCCTAGTGGGGGTGGCACCAAATTGAGGAGGGGCCGCTGGGGCATGCGAATGGTGCCGGCATGCTTTGGGGCATAGCCAGGCGACCAGGCCTCTTGCTCTGTTGCAACAGCACATGACACAGACACACAGCGGCACAAGTACAGGCGCACGGCATTACAGCACCATAGTGGGCAGTCAATAGGTTATTCGTACTTGGATCTTGCATTTCCAATTTTCCATATCCATTGTTAAAAAAAATTAGTTGTTTGTGGCTTTGTAGCGACTAGTAAGAGGTTTGTTTCACTTGTGTTGATTTTATTGTGAACTTCCATTGTTCAATTCTTCTGAAGAAGACAGAGACATTGAAATCCTTGTTTCTTCTTGCTCCTATGTCCTATGCCTATTATAAACAACCATGAAACCTTCTATTTCCGTGCAATTCTAATCTAGAGTAGAAGAACCAAAGTTAGTAGGAACAACGTCTAGCAATGCAAACTTTGTGGAACTAGAATCCCTAGGAAAAAAGAGATGGTCCTAATGTGCAAAATGCCCCTCGTGTTGTTCCGCATTACCAGCATGTAATTACCAAGTTTATTATACAAACAAGCATGGAGTTGATATATCTACGAAATTAAGCATTTATCCCTCTCACTTATGTATGAACTAGCAATGTGTAGACATGATTTGAGTCAGCTAGGCACTTAGATAGTGGCCCTAGACATCGAGATTCACTAGCTCCGCCATTGGTGGCTAGGATGAACACACATGCACGATATTTGAGGAATTGAGGGTATGGCTTCTATGTGTCAGTTGTTGGACGACGGTATGGTAGGGTCGTGCGCCATGGGTGTCCACGGAGTTGGCAAGAATGGCTCTAGCGCAGGAAGAGGTGGACAACAGAAGTACTTTGCCGAGACAACTCGTATGGTGAGGTGACGGGCGGTCCTGCACAGTTAGCCGTTTCCATGCAAGGAGGAGTGTGGATGATAGTTGGAAAGGCCCCTTGACATTTATGTTATCTTTGATAAAATGACTAGGTTGCTAATAGTTGCAATGCATGCATCTAGATCTCGAGGGTCATAGCTAGGGATGAAAACGGTCGAATATATCTCGAACCGAACTGTATTATTTTTTACATTTTACCCGATCAATTCCGTATTTTTTGGACAAATTCGAATTCGGTTTGAAATACGGAATACGGAATACCAAATTTGAAAATGGAACGGAAACGGTTTAGGTGTTTTCCAACTATTTTCTACCTTTCTACTTTTTGTTCGGAATATTCTGTTTTTTAAATTCGGTTTATACCGTTTTTGGCCTACTAAAAGGGTCCGGCCTTAGAAAAAATATATGAAAATTGTAGCTCTCGACGAGATATACAACTTTCTAGTTTTTAGTTTTTCCATTCGAGGTTGTTAAATCTTCAAAAAATTAAACAAAGTTTTAGCAGTATATTAATCGTGTACTCGCGCTTGTTGCCTTAGAAAAATCATATATTTCTTATATAGTGGAGATACTTTTTATATGAAATTGTAGCACTTGTTAATTGTTATGCACTTAGTCATGTACTTGTTAATTGTTATGCACGTGGTCCCACGGGTCAATATTCTGTACTGATTTTTATATATTAACCGTGTTCGATATAATTTCCTCAAATTAGTTTGTTTTTGAAATTCTCAATATTTCGTAAGCTTGTCTTCGTCTTCGTGTCTCTGGCTTTACCTCTTTTGTTGTCTTTTTCGTATTCAATTGTACAAGTATAAGACGATTAAGGGGTTTCCTGACCGTCTTCATCTTAGTCACAGCTGGCTTGTCTGACTGAGGCTACTGCTCACCTTGGCGAGACGACTACCATGCCTAGCGTTGATAGGAGGCACGTGCGGCGCGACGGCAACTTAGCTTGCAGCGGACCGCGGCTTTGAGCCTTGCATTGCATGCATGGCACCTGGTAGCGTTGATACGACGCAAGTGTGGGCGACATGATGGCTTTGTCACCCGGGTGATGTTGATGCCTTTCACTGGAATATACTATTCTGTGTCACGGTACCAAGAGCAATTTCAATGGCTTGAAGGATAGTGTGGTTATTGTGGATACTCCTAAGAATTAGGGCTCTTTGACACGGTTTATGTCGGTTTTGACTTCATCTATTTTGCATAAATCAAGGTACTGCAGCGTAAAGCCGTTTTGTAAGCCGGAATTAAAATGAACTAGAAACCAGAAAAAGTCAGTTTTTTTTGCTTCACCGGCTTTGGCTTCACCGGTAAAGCTGTTTTGGATGAGCCATGTCAAAGGGGCTTTAATTACCAGCGCGTTACACAAAGTTGCTTTATCTGAGTGCAAGTCATATACTACCTCCGTCTAAAAAAAATACAATTTTAACATAGTGTCACGTTACAGTACCTTAATACCTTAAGTTTAACAATTATAAATTTAAAAATATCCATATTTATGATACTAAATAAATAACATTAGATAATTATAAAATATATTTTTATAATAAATTAATTTAAAGACATAACTATAAATATTATTTATTAAAAACTTGATCAAACATACACTACTTAGCACGCAACTTATAGTTATATTTTTTAGACTGAAGGTAGCATATACTAGTACAAGGCTAAAACTGAAATAAAGTGTGTTCCTAGCCCATAGTTTCTGCACTTTCATGCTTTTACCCCCCATGCACTTTCATGGAGGTAGGAGCTGCTAGGTAGCTGTTGCCGGCAGCGGCAGCGGCAGCGGGTTGAGGCGCGGTGTTGGGATGAGGATGAGATGGTGCTTCCGGGCGGTGACGAGCGCCGCTTCCTCCTCCATGTCCAAGGGCGGCGCCGTGGACTGGCCCTGCGGGATGGGCACCGCCCAGTGGAAGCACTGCACCAGCGCGGCGAGGAAGGCCGGCACGGCCTGCATGGCGAGGCCCATGCCGGGGCAGGCACGGCGGCCGCTCCCGAACGGCAAGAGCTGCATGTGCTGCCCCTTGGGGTCGACGTCTGCTCCGGCGCCGCCGGGCATGAAACGCTCCGGCCGGAACTCGAGGGGATCCTCCCACCAGCCCGGGTCGCGGCCGATGGAGAAGATGTTGAAGAAGACGGAGGTCTTGGGCGGGATGACGTAGCCGCGGACGTGCACCGGCTCGATGGTCTCCCGCTGCGCGAACACGGCGGGAGGCTGCAGCCGCAGCGTCTCCTTGAAGACGGCCTGCAGGTAGGGCAGGTGCGGGACGTCCAGCTCCCCGACCAGGCGCGACGCGCCCACCACGGCGTCCAGCTCCGCACGCAGCTTGTCCATGCAGGCCGGGTGGTTGATGAGGTACGCCAGCATCCACTCCACGCTGGTGGCGGTGGTGTCGGAGCCGGCGGTGAGGATGTCGAGGACGAACGCCTTGATGTTCTCCCTGGTGAGCCTGACCTCGGCGTTCTTGTCCTCCGCCGCGTCCATGAGGATGTCCAGCAGGTCGTTGTTGTTGTTGGTGGTGGTGGTGGTGTTGGTCTCCCCCTGCTCCTGGTGCCGTCTCCGACGCTTCTCCTCCTTGGCCGTGATCATGATCTCCAGCAGCGCGTCGAACTTGTCCCGCACCTCGCGCGTCCTCCGCGTGAGCCCCTGCAGGTCCCAGCCCCGGCAGAGTCCCACGTAGTCCTCGATGTTGAAGGCCCCCACGACCTCGGCGACGCGCTTGGCGCAGTCCCTGGCCGCCTCCGTCATGTGGCCCGGCAGCGCGCTGGCCACCATGCGCATGATGGCGTTGTTGGACATGCTGATGAGGTGGCGGCTGACGTCGATGCGCTCACCCCTGGCTGCCGCCTGGCGCGCCGCCCCCAGCACGGCCGCCAGCTCGGCCTCCCGCACGGGGCGCAGCTGGTCAACGGTGCGCGGCCCCAGCAGCTCGGACATGCAGAGGCGCTTCATGAAGCGCCAGTGCGGGCCGTAGGGCGCGAAGGCGAAGCCGGCGTCGTCGTAGGCGAGGTGGCGCGTGACGACCGTGATCGGCCGCTCCGGGAAACTAGCCTCGTGCTTGAGAAGGTCCCGTGCGGCGTCCGCGGTGCCGACGACGATGCAGTGCGTGGAGGGGCCGAGGCGGAGGTAGACGAGGGGCCCGTAGCGCACCACGATGCGGTCCAAGGCCCTGTGCGGCGGCGAGCGGATGAGGTGCAGGTGGCCGATGAGCGGGAGCGCCATCGGGCTCGGGGGCAGCCTGCTGTTGCGGTTATTCCATCTCCATCTGGTGATGATGAGGGTGGAGAGCGCGAGGAGGAGGAGGAGGAGCGGGACGCCGGCAGGCAGCAGGGCCGCGGGGGCGACAGCTGCTGCTTCCATTTCTGGTCTGCTGGTCTGGGTGTGGTGTGCCTAGCTAGTTCCGCCGTGCTTAGATTTATAGCAATGGATGGAGTATACTAGCAGTCGTTGTGCGTGCATGGACGCCGTTGTTTTATGTTAGACAAGTCGTAACGGTAGTGTCCGTAGGAGTAGTTCGCCGGTCGGCGTCAAGCGAAGTGGAGGGGGCTTCTATTTATTTATTGCTAATAAATAATAAATAATGTTAAAATAAACTAATAAGAAATTAAAGGACCAGCAGCGGCGTGGAAGAACGCAAGCCACCCTCTCCCAGTCATTCAACTGAACTGATGCATGCCCCGTGCTCAACTCTGAGCGCGTGTTCAGTTCCAAAAATACTTTCAAAAAAGTGCTACAGTACCCGTCACATCGAATCTTGCGATACGTGCATGGAACAGTAAATGTAGACAAAAAAAACTAATTACACAGTTTTGTTGGAAATCACGAGACGAACATTTTGAGCCTAATTAGTCCATGATTGAACACTATTTGTCAAATAAAAACGAAAATACTACGGTACCTAAATTCTAACTTTCCCTCCAACTAAACAACGCCTTAATAGATCTGTCCCAGACCCCAGTGCCAATCTGCACAACAACTCGACGTCGAAATCGGGGATTGGATTGGGATGGGATTCTTACTACAGTACTTAGCCTAGCCCTGTATATTTTTTATTTTTTAATCTTTTTCAACAAATATTCACATTTATACCCTTAGACCTCTTTGTTAGACAATTCCTACGATCACGCCTTTCCAAGAGCTTTTGTCGACGTGTCTTGCGTATCATACGTGTTTCCGTCGAGACTTCCGTTGGTGCTTGCAGTTTCAACATAGCCAGATCGACCGGTGCTCACGTTTTTGGGACATACTATCTGTACGTGCTAGCTAGCGCTTTGATCTGTGGTCATTATTTACGCTAACAATAATACAATTGGGGAACCTGAACGGCTCAGCTGCTTGGCGATGCACGCAGGCAAAAATGAGGCATTGTATTATTGGTACATTTTATCACAATCTCCATGTCTTTTTTTTAAAAGATCCGAAACATAGCCGGTATATATTAATAAGGAGAGAAGAGAATTACATATGCAAGCAGCGCAAATAGCTTCCCAGGTTTAACAGGTTGTCAAGCTGGGCGAAAAGAACTAAACGGACTACTCACATACTCAGGGGTACAACAAGAGGCCATAACAACTTAGCCTTCAAAAACAACTGATCTGCATCTTCTAACTTGCCGAAGTGACTACCAACCATTTTCATCCGACACCCGGAACTCACGGCCTTGACCGCCTGCTCCGGGAGATCCTCTCAAACATGTCAACGAACTCTGTGACTGCTGCATCCGGCGCCAGCGACTGGCCATTGATGAAGTCCAACTCACGCATAAGCTTGCGTTGGGCTCGCTGTGCCACCGGCACATGGGACGGACGAGCGGCCAGACGCAGGCTAGAGCGGGTGGGAGCCAATGTCCTGCTGCGTCCTCTGCTACTCGACAATCTAGACTGCTTCTGAACATCTGCCACCGGACAATCTCCATGTCAGTTTTTATAAATGCATTTTCTATAAAAAGAAGCTTTTATTACTTTTCTAAGAGCAATACATCAAGTTGATACACAGTGCTTTGGAAGAAAAAGCTACTTTCGGCCTCTGCTTTTCAAATACAAAGCCACGAAAGAGAAAACCACGCACACTCCGGTGAGTATCGATCGAAAGACTAGAACACCACCCATTTCGCTCAGAAGAAGATAGCCTTCCACTTGTGTTTGCGCCAATTGCTGCAAAACCGCCACAACCAAATCCGGTGAACCTAGCCTCTAGAGGATAGCGCATGTATGAAGCTAGTGGATAACCGACAAAAAAAAAACCTGCAAAGGCCTCCATATCAAATGTCAAACACGTGTCTTCTTTGTCAAAAGCACATGTTTTACTACCTTGCTCTTGGACGCCGTTGTTAGACTGGTGTCCCTAGCTAGGTAGGAGACAGTTCGCCGGTAAGTTTCAAGCTGTTGCGTTTTGCGGCTCGTACATCGAGAGGAAAAAAACTGAGCTATGCATCATCCAAAGAGCTGACAACAGCGGAAAAACTGTGAAACAATTCCTCGTTGCGATACAGTGGGCGAGTCTAGAAGCACGGAAATGAGATGAAACAAAGCAGCTGTATAGTTTAAAAGTCCATGGGAGCTAGAAGGAATGGAAAATTGTTAGAACGAAATTGGCGAGTTGAAAAAAAAAAGGTTGTGGTAGGTTTCAGGGCGCCGGAAGATTCCAGGGATGAGACGCAGGCAGCTCCAGTCAACAACAGATCAAGCCTGCCAAACTGACCAAGAACCGCTGCCCGGCACCGCGCTCCGCACTGGAGGACAGCTTAGCCTCGCACCCATCGGTTCTGGAGGCTGGGCTGCTTAGTGGGCCTGCGCCCGGTCAAGCTGGCCGCTAGAATGTGGTGCAGCAGGATCTCCCACAAGAGACCAGCACAAGGGTCCAACGAGTATTTAGCAAGCATAAACCTAAGTAAAATCTATAACTAAGTTATACATAATTCAATGAGTATAAAATTTTACTACAGTTTAAGCATACAATAATTAGTTCACCATAAAAATTTCACCACAATTGAACCATAGAAACTGCAGCTATGAATTATTCCATTTAATTACATAAAAGCATAGATCTAAATGTACAATAAAAAACTTTATATTAAAGTATACCATATTATATGTTTACTGTGTAGATCTACTCATGTGGAGTCCAACAAAATTAGATTTTCAATTTTATGATTTTTCTGTGATTTATTATGATTTTTCAAAGATTCAGCCAAAATAAATAAAAAAGACAAGACAAAATCACCTTCAAATCCGCTTATAACCGGGTCAGGGAGGTAAGATAAACGGTTTTAAAAATTGAAAGAGGTGTTTTGCTCGGTTTTGAAGTTCAGGAATGAAAAACCTACTTTCGCGAAAGTTGAGTGAGGTAACGTGACTTTTTTTCCCGCGAGAATATGCTACAGCAGGATCTCCCACAAGAGACAAGCACAGGGGTCTGAGTACCATCAAAGGACGGGCCGCAGGGTGAGGACACGTACGAGTGCACACACGTCGCGCTGGAGAGCACCGCAACGTCATCAGGTTCGCCTCCGTGCACGCCACAGGCGCTTGGAAGGCAACCAGGATCTTCTAAAGCTGACAGCCATGCTGGGTCGGCCGGGCTGCCAAACGCGCACAACCTTGACAGCACTCCATCATCACGCGAAGCCACCACACGTCCCGCCAAGTTCACCGAGGAGACGGAACAGACCATGCAGACCCCAGTGATCGCGTCGCCATCAAAGCAGAGGGCACTTGCGGGAGCGCTGCCAACCTCGCAGGGTGTTTACACCAAAATTTAAAAAAGGTGAACGCGAAAACTCAAAGCTAACAAGATTGTGTCATCAAGAAATCGATTAGATATGAATCGATATTAGCTGATTTGGATGTGTTATCAGAATCGGCTATTTTATAGATGACATCAGCAAACGATGTCAATGAACTATGTTTGGATGGCGTCGGGGAGACGTGTCGGATTCTACAGAAAAAGAAAATTAGGGTCCACATTATTATAAAGTTAGAAAGTTTTCTTTTATTCTAAGAATTGTACTAAGTCGTATTCGAGTATGATTTATGTTTAGATTTCGGGTATAAATATTAGATCCAAATTATTGTACAAAAAGAAAAACGAACACTCAATCAATACAAACTTTTCGGCTTTCGCCATCGCATTAGGAGTAGGAGTACTGTAGATCTCAGCGAGTTCTTCAGCAAACATGGCTGCATCGACTGATCGACCTCCAGCTTGCTTGTGAGTACCATCACAACTTGTATTGTGCTTGTAAAGCTGCATCAGCTGATTGATCTTTTATGAGCCATAATATAAGTTAGTTATCGATCTGTATCATAATGTGTAAGGCTGCATCAGCTGATTGATCTCTTACGAATCATAATATAGATCAAAGTTATCAATCTTGTGTTAAATAACTTATTGTTTAATACAATATCACAAGTTATCGAATCTGCTAAGATTAGTAAGATTTTCCTTACTGTTTTTGGTTGATTCACCGGTTATCGATCTTGTTATAGTTAATATTTTATTAATTATAACAAATGACCCGATTGAGATAGACATAGATCGGCATCATATCATCTTAATTGGTCATCCTTTGATCCGGTCACGCTTTAAATCTTATAATTGATGGCTTAATTCCGCTAAATCGACTGTTTTATCTCTATTCCAATCAAACATAGTATACATCCAAAGACATGTTTCAATCTTGAATAAACTCACTAGTTAATGAGATCTAATCTAATGACACCACCATAGCTGCATTAATCCGGTCGAACCTCACTGGTAAGATTTTAGATTAGAAATTATCGATCAGTGGTTTTGTTCATGATCAAGATATGTACTCTGTTTGTTTGCTATGACTGCATCGACTATTTTAGCCGATTTATCTATACTCTCACGCATATATTATATTTTCATGAATCTGTCAACATATAGATAGTTTTATAGATTCTTTGGTTTTAGTTTGTTATTATTATCATAGCTGCTTCGATCTGATCAAACCTCACTGTTAATGATAATAGATTAAATTCAAACTGTCTGTAGATTCATTTATATTGGACAGTCGATTTGTTCGCATGTTATACTCTTTTCATCAAACTTATCGGCTCAACGCTTTATATCGATCATTTTCCATTTAGTCGATGATGCTTTCTGATGATCTATGAGCATCAATTATTTTGATTCATATCATTATCATTTAATATTAGCCGATCATCCTTGATTTAAAGATCTTCCTTTCATGGATAAGCTAGATATCGACTATTTAGTCAATGGCCTTATTTATTCGCTTTCAAAGCAGTATATTTGAAAATGTCTGGTGCAACACCGGCATGTTCCACCTTAAACTATTAATTATCTTCTCCTTGTCAATTGCCGGGTCAAATTGA